AGCAGACCTTTTCTCTCTGACGGAGGCTGGTGGGACTCCTGACCACGCTTGTGCGTGGAGGCATGCTCGGGGCTCACAGTGTTGTTACCAAACCCTGCCTGCCGCCCTCCCGGACAGGAGGCGGCAGCGGTGCCTGGGCTGGCGCCGCCCCGAGCCCAGGCTGGGGCTGGACACAGGCGTTTGAGCCCCGGCTGTGCGCCCCCTGGCTGGGTGAGCTCGGCGGGGCGTTCGGTTTTCCTGAGCTTCCCTTTCCTCCCCTGCAAGGTGGGGTTTGCCGATGCTGACACCGATTCCAGCGTGTGGGGTGCTTCTCCACCCCACCGAGCAAGCGCTTCTCCGACCCCGGCTGGTGTCCCCCAGTGCAGCTCCGTTCTGGCACCACCTGCCTGGAGGAGCGTCAGGCCCCACAGGTTCAGGGCTCAGTCCGATGAGACTCCTCCCACCTCAGCCAGTCCCAGATCCAGTTGCCACTGGGCTTCTGGCCGCCGGGCTGTAGGTCAGACCCCCAGGAGCCCACCCTGGACTTGATTAACTTCCTGCGCGGCTCACAGAGCTCAGTTTACTCACTGGATTGCCAGTCTATTTCATTTTACTTTTTATTGACGTATAGCTGATGTATAATGTCATGCAAGTTACAGGTGTACAGCACAGTGACTCACAATTTTTAAAGGTCACGCCCCACTTGTAGTTACTATAAAATACTGGCTGTGTTCCCCATGTTGTATAATACCTCCTTGCAGCTTAGTGTATACCTGAGAGTTTGTACCTCCTCGTCCCCTCCCCCTTCCCTCTCCCCTGAATGAAATTTTGCCGTTTGCGGCAACATGGATGGACCGAGAGATGATCATACTAAGTGAAGTAGGTCAGACAGAGGAAGACAAATGCCACGTGATATCACTCATATGTGGAACTTAGAGAACGCAACAAACTAGTGAACATCATTAAAAAGATTCTCAGTGTTTTTTAAAGTCTGTGACTGGGGAACAGCCGGATTCGAGAGACGGGGAGGGAGAGGCAGTTGTGGGAGGGGCTGCAGCTTCCACGCCCTCTCCAGGCGCCACCCTCCCCAAGGCTCCACGTGTTCACCAGCCCAGAAGCTCTTGGAACCCCGTCCTTTTGGGTTTTACGGAGGCTTCATTATGCAGGCACGACTGATGAAATCAGTGGCCATAGGTGATTAACTCAGTCCCCAGCCCCTCTCCCCTCCGGAGGTCAGGGATTGAGGCTCAAAGTTCCAACCCTCCGATCACATGGTTGGTCCTCCTGGCAACCAGTCCCCATCCTTAGGGGACTTTCCAAAAACCACTCTGTTAACCTAAACTCTAGTGCGGCTGAAAATGGCTTGTGATGAATAACGAAAGCCACCTCACTGACTATAACTCAATAAAATTGAACAACAACAACAAAAGAAAATGCAAATAAAAAAAAAGCCGCCTTTAAGCCTCCTCGCTTAGGAAATTCCAAGGGATTTTAGGAGTATGTGCAGGAACGGGGAGGAAGACCAAATAGATGTTTAATCACAGTATCACAGGTTAATGCTGTTTCACACCTCGCAGGGCTGTTAGGAGGGCGAGACGAGATCGTGTGTGTCCAGCACACGGCCCAGGGCCTGGGACGATGTGACGACAAGCTTCAGCTCTTGTGATGATTCGGGGTCTTTCGTTTGGGGTCTTAAATCCCTCCCGGTGAAATGAATCTGAGTTCCCTGCCGGCCTGAGCCCCTGTGCAGGGCAGTACGTGACCAAAGGGAAGAAACCCCGGCTATAAATCTGTCCCTTTTTTTTGTCGATGTGGTCTTTTTAGCTGTTTAAATATTCATGTGTTTGGCAGATGCATTAGGGCCAGAGCGATAAATCTGAAACGTATAGACGGTTATCGGAGACATTACAGGGAGACAGATGGCCTTCGGGGCATCGGCGATTGACCACGTTGGCATCGGGAATTCAGACTGTTACGTGTCATTAAGTTTCCAGCCTCTTCTCCTTCCCCGACTGCGCGCTGTATCGATGAGCAAAGGGGAAAGTGATCGGTGCAATCAGCTTCAGAGGGAGCTGCGGGCTCAGGGCTCGTCCACCTTTAAGCATCTGGTTCTCCTCTTATGGGAAGGAGCTTTATTATTTTACACATAGGTCAACAGATACGGCTTCTGTTTTCTCAAAACACGTTAAAAAGTATACAAGCAATTTAATTCTGTGGGAAAAAAATCTTGGGAACATAGTGTTTAGAAGACGCCAGGCCCACAGTGGAGTTACTTATGCTCACATTCACAGCGCCGAGCCGAGACTGAATTCAGCCGTGGTTCTCCAGGAACGGAGCCCTAACCGGTCCCTCGGGAGCCGTCTGGTCAGCACGAGGCCGGTGACCCACCTCCCGGAAAGTAACCAGCCCCCTTTCTCGCCTCGGACAACCTCCTGTTCCTGCTCCCTTCTGCCTGTGAAAGTGTTTCATGTTGTCCAGCTCCTTGGAGATCTTTTCTATCAGCTGGACTGGATGCTGCCTGGTTTGAGCAGAGTTTTGCTCAGATACTCTTAAAACCTTTAATATGCCTTGGTTTATCTTTTAACAACAGAGAATAGAAGAAAAAAACAAAACAAAACCTCCTACTGTCTTTTTGCTCTAACACACCCTTTAGATATTTGGTTACTAGAGGGGGAAGGGGGTGGGAAGGGATAAATTGGGAATTTGAGATTTTTGGATACTTACTACTATGTATAAAATAGATAAACCACAAATTTCTACTGTACAGCAGAGGAAACTATATTCAACATCTTGTAGTAACCTATCATGAAAAAGAATATGAAAACGAAT